CCCCCGGCCGCTGGGCAGGGCCCCGCTCACCTGCTGCGCTGACGCAAGGTCTGGGCTCCGGCGGGTGACTCAGGCTGGGCACAGCTTCGTCGTCAGGCTCCGCTGGGTTGGCGGGGGCTCGTCCTCCCCGTGGGTGTGCTCTGCCTGCTCCCCGCTTCCCCAGGCTTTGCTCTCCCCCTCCCCGCCGTCCCCGCTCCCCGGGATATGCCTCTCCCATAACCTGCCTTTTCTCCTCTCTGCGGCTGCGGCTCTCAGGTGGTCTCGTCCGTCCAGCTCTGCCATCCTCGATTGCTCTCCACGCCTCTGTCTTTTCGGAGGTGCCCCGGAGGAGAGACAGTCTGTCTCCTGTCTGGCTGGGAGGAAGGACCAGTCACGAAACAGAGATGGAAATATGGCAGTATCCTCTAGGCGGTGGGCATAAATAGACACGCTGCAGGCCCTGTGATTGTCAGCTGTAATAAGTGTTAGAAGGAAGTCGAGAGGCAAATGAAATTCCTCATACCTGGTGATGTAAATTCAAGGGAGTGAAGAACCGCCGTCACACGGATTTAAATCTCTTTGCAGGCAGTGGCTGTGGGCTCCGGGACAGCTGCTGTCTCTTCACAGAGCTGGTAAGGGTGGGTCAGGAAAATTTTCTTCCCTGTGTCTGCTTTTCTTCCTTCCTCGTTTTTTGAGGGATGTCTGGATTTAGGCAGGTACTTTCCCTCTAAACAAGTAGATTTCAGTGTTGGTGTGTGGGTTTTTTTATGTGATGTCATAGCTTCCTACTTCACGATGTTACTCTGCATGGCTTGCTGTGATGTTTGGTGGGTGGAGTGGTGGGAATAAGGTCGTAAAAGTGCCTGAGGAAATGGAGGATCCTTTAGTGCTAATAGATGGGAGAGAGAAGCCGTCTTGCTGGATTTAAGAACAGTAGGTGTTCAGGAGTGAGAGGCTGGATCTTAAAATCACTCAAGAAGGAACTACCAGCCTAGCAGGAGTGGGGCACTGCTGTGCTGTTGCCGAGATGTTCATCGGAATACAGTTGCTTGCTGGATAATCTGAATTCTAGAGTAGTTTTTCAGCTGCTACAGAGTCTGGAGTGGTGTCCTGGAAAGAAACAGTCACTGGAACGAAGATCTATTTCATTACGTGTTTCCGTATCCGCATGCTGTGTGTGTGACTTTCCCTATGCAGAAACAAAGGTTGGATTCCTACCCTGGAGAATTCATGAAGTAAAAGGGAAGGAAGGGTGTGAGAAGAGGCGTGACGTGTAATTAAAGAGGTCAGGGTGGGGACTGGTTGTGGCATGCTAATATAAAGTTATGTTAATTCTGTATTTAACAGATTAAAATGACGGGTGCCACCTTTCTTAATTCCTATTTAGGATAATGTTTTGATAATGTGTCTCGGTAATCTCAGGGAGATGTCATTCATAGTGACGCTTCCTCAGAAGAAGGACGAAGGGAATCCATGAGGTGCAGCAGAGAGGAGGGGTGTATTTCTGGACGAAGTGCCCTGGTCAGGGGATGATAGAGTTAACGTCAGCTGATGAGGTGAGGGAAGTACTGCACACCTGCTCAGGACTGAAATGATTCTCCAATTTTGGAGTCTGCTAATGTCATTTAGGTTTTTCTTCTTTGCTGTGCTTTTAACCTGTTGCTTGCTTTCCTGCAAGATGGTATCTTTTGCAAATATCAGTGTTCTAAAGGACCTTGATGATCTTAAAAAAACGGGCAATAATCAAAATATTTAGCTTTTAAAAATCAACATATCTTACCTGAGGTGGCGTGGTAACAGTAGAGATTATTGGTTAAGGGATCTGTATGAAGTGAGCTGCCAGTCTCAGTCCCATTCTTAGTGAATTAGCTTGTGTGTGGCAAAATTGCTTACTGTGTTTGGTATTCGGGATGCTCTAACAAAGGAATCGGTGAGTTCGCCCTTCCCAAGTGATACCGCATATGAGGTTGTAACTGTTTTGGAAATGATTGGCATGATGTCTGTCTTCCTGGCTGTTAATCGCAAACTTCTCACCCAAACATGAGAAGGAAAGAAACCTTTAAAAAAAATAAATCCTAAGGAGTATTGCAACTTTATCTTCAGTGATAAAGGTAAGGCACCTTATATTTTGGTGTATGTGGTCCTACAGCTCTTCTAGCTAAATCAGTGGTGATCCTAGTTGGTGATCTGTGTCACACTGGTTATCCTAGATCCCTATCCTAGCTCAAATGGATGGGATATAGAGATTTTGTAATCGTCAAGTAGGATGAGGCAGACAAATAGCTTCATGGTATGTTGTGAGTGCAGTGTCCCAAATGCCCCTCAAGGGATGGAGAGGTGTTGGCACTCCAGATTTGTATCCTCAGCAACACAGACTTGTTTAATCTTCTTTCTATGCCACCTTTCATCACACAGTCAAGATTTTAGATACATAAAGCTTACACAGGGTAAGTATCTGTGAGCGTTGGGGAAAATCTCACTTGTCAGCTGTGTTACTGTTGACACCAGGTAGGGAAGAGGAGGATGTTGTCCTGCCACATTTGTTTTGTCTCCAAGGAAGTCTCAGCTTTTTTTAAACTGGAGTGCAACAAGTTATATTGGTAACAGAGGAATTCTGTTTCTGGCTTAAGAAAAAAAAAATAGGAGACATGAAAACACACTTGTTTTATGAGATAGGAGAAAAGAAAATAGCATATTGGTATGAGTATGACTATGAGAACTGTTGTCACTGCCCAGTCAGTGCAGTATTTCTTGGCTGGGAAGTACCTGATGATTCAGAGATGAGAGAAGAGTCCATAACCCAACAGCCCTTTTGTTCTGGAGAAGAAATCTTCCTAATCCCCAGAAACAGGAGATATCAGGGGGATTGTCTTGTTTTGTTACAAATGTTAATGATCACTGTATATATTGCTTTTTGTCTCTGAGTTACCTGTGCCTATAAATTTCTGCAGGAGCAAGATCTAAGTAGTCTGATACAACATGCTAGATAAGAGCTTTGCAAACAGTCCTGAGAGGTGTTTTGGGTGTTACTAGCCTCTTCAGAAAGTTGAGTTCTGGAAAGACAGAGCCCTGAAGGAGAAAAATCTTGAGTGCTGTGGGATATATATTCCTTAAAAAGCCATTTTCTGGAGACAAACGAAGTGAGACCTACTTGGAGTCCTGCTAGGTGAATCTGACGGTTTTTTACTAATACTAGAGCAAATAGTAATACAACAGAGCTACAGGAGCATGACCTGAATCTAGCCTTTCTTGCACCTCACCAACAGAATGGCAAACCCTGACAGCTAAAGCTTTGCAGATCCATCAGAGGCCATATCAAGGAAGAGCCATTCTTCAGGCTGTTGTTCCTTCATCCCTGGGAACAGTAGGATGAGACCAGTTTGAGAATCAAACTTTCACCTGGAGGGTGCCTGCAGGGCTGGCTCTGGAGGTGATGGAGAGAGCCTCGGATGGCACCGCTTGTCACTGCTCAGGGTAGGAGCATCATATAAAAGATGTCATAATATCTCTCTTTAAATAACTGTCAGTAGCGTCTTTCAGCCTTTCTTTGGTTGGTACAACCCTGCATCTCTAACAGAAATATTTACTTTTAAACTTCTGTATAGCAAATGAAACTGTACAGTTGCCATTACTTTCCACAGACATCTTATAAATAGTTTGCAGACTTGCAGAAGTTCATGGACCACAAGGTAAAAATCACTTCTGGAGAGTTTTGGGGAAAACGAGGTTCTGCAGAGTTCTGCAGAAGTGCCCTCGTTCTGCACCATGCTTATTTGGGTGAAAGTGTCCGTTTGTTGTGCAGAAATTGACTCTCAGGGAAGAGATGTTTGGGGCCCCCTTAGACACTAATCGGAAACCTTTGGATTGTATTTGTGTAGCAGTGTTTAATGTGGAGTCGCCTTTACCTTAAGCCTTGAAGACTGGGGCGATTGCACACCTGACTTTTGGCACACATGGCTTTTCTTCCCTGTGTGTTGGAAGCAAGGAGAATTTTGCTGTGCAGTGCGAGTGAACACCTTGCTAGTTTGTATCTGGCCTTTTTTTCTGTTGTCATTCAATGCAGATTAAAAAAAACAACTGTTGTTCCAGTGCTCGATCTATTGTAATCCTCCTGTGTGAGAGGGGAGGAGCGCTCTATATTCCCATCACATACCTTCTCACAACTCAACTAATGGGAGCACCGGGAAAGGGGAAACTCCTCCTCCTCTGATCCCAAGGGTCTTGGCAATCAAGAGGTTCTCCACAGCAGTGCAATTCATGCTTAGCAGGCACCAAGTGTCTGCAGTGTAAGGATAGACACCCTCTGCTTTCCAGGGCTACAAGTGTGGTAGCTTGTGTTAGCAACACAGGGAATCAGCAGAGCCATAGGTAAGTTTGGTTCTGGTTTGGGTTTTGGTTTTTTTTCATGCACCACATGGGGGAAGCGTTTGTTATCTCCAGATCTTAGAAGTAAGAGCTTCAGCCTTTTCCTGCATAAAGGATCAGCTGTCTGCTTTGGAGCCAGATAAATAAAAGGCAGTTCTGCTCTGAAAAGAAAATACATGTTGATATGTAGGATATCTGCATTCTACGAGCTTGACACATTGAACTGCAATCAGGAGGTTCAGCTGTGGTCGGTCTGTCCGATGCGTAAGCGGTAGGAACTAGGATTCTGCTTTTTCACATCCTTATTTTCAAAATGGATATGAAATTGATATGAAACTGGAAGTTACTGTTCCTTTTGTATAAACTGGAAGTGGCTCAGCACCTTCAGCTCCAGCGGAGCGCTCTCTGTCATTACGGCAGGCAGGCTTGCTGGACACCCATCAGGGCAGGGAGCAGATCTGTTGCATGGAAGTACCTTTTAGTTACATTTCTGCATGGAATTACATTTCCAATGTGGCCAGCAGTCTACAAGGTGCTTTATGGCAGGAGGCACAGAGTTCCAGTTTACTTTTTGTTGTCCCTGTTATGTGCCCTGGGGCAGCGGGGAGGAGGCGCTCTGCCCTGCCACACTCCTGCGGTCAGTATGTGATCCCAGTTGGTGACTGGGCAGCACTGAAGCCCTGAGCAATGCCTCCGCCGTCGGCGACGTAACGCTGTCAGCAGCTTGCCATCCTTCCTGCCTGCCCACCTGGCTCTGCAAGGCTGTCACAGCCTTCACCTTTGCTGCTTTCCAAGTCTCCCGTCACCCTTTTTAGGCCTGCCATAGGCTTTTATCTCTGATTCGCTTTCTCTGCTATGAGAAAGTGGGCTGAGGGCAGTTAAAGTCCCCCAACTTTTCATTCCAAGTCACGTGGTAGAAAGCAAGCATGAAGGGTACCTCGGCACCTCCCTCCTGCGTTTGTAGTGTGTTGCTCAACACCCAAAGCAATGTGAGGCTGGTCGTGGTTTATAAGCCTTAAACGGAGAGTTCCAGGGGTGACCCAGGTTCACCAACACCATGTTGACTCCTTAACCAGGCGCTGGTGCGTGTCAGTGTCGGCGTGGGATTCTGCATCACTTAAAAATCCAGGGTGTCAGGGTGCGGGGGCAGAAATTATCTGTATCTTGTCTGCCCCTTGGTCAGGTGTGTGGCTGTCCTTCGTTCACTTTTCTACTTGTTTGTGAAGCTGGAGTTTCTTCTGACTGTATACGTGCAAAGCAAATATTGACTCGTGGGACTAATGGCATTTGCAGCTCCGGGACAAGCCTTTGCCTGACCTCGGGGAGAAGCCCAGGGGGGAAGGGAAGGCAAAGGGCTCCTGCTGAGAGCTCCCCTTGTGCGTTTCATTGGGCAAGTCAGGATTTTAATTAGGAAAACAAAGCTTTGGAGGTGTGAGGGGACAGAAATGAGCTGCCTGATTCAGTGCAGGGTTTGATTTCTGACAGAGGAAGAGTCAGTCTAAATGTTAAATTGGATGCGATCTACATGGGACTTTAAAGGCTGAGTTGGAAGAGGCTTCTAGAACTAAACCTAAGTGCGTGGCCTCCAGATGAGTACTGTGGCTTTGTAATCGCTTTTCTCTTCCAAAACATACTTTCTTTCTTTTTTTTTTTTTTTTTAAATAAAGGAAGAGAATAGAGAGCAGTACTGTTTTTTAGTCACTTTTTTTTTCCAAAAAAAATTTTTTTTTTTTTTTTTTTTTTTTTAAATAAAGGAAGAGAATAGAGAGCAGCGGAAACCAGCTGACAGTCCAGAGGTGGCAGTGGCATTTATTGCATGCAATGTTGCTTCGTGTTCAAATTAAGCATAATGGAAAGCAGAGTTTTTCCCCATGCTAGCTTATTGTCGGAGGAAGCGTTGTATATGCTGTTCCTATGACAGTGGATGAAAATCATTCTAGAAAGAATTGTTATGCTTGTTCTGGTCCTTCTGATGATGTTCACTGACGGCTCCTGCATAGTTACTAGTTGCAATGTTTTCAGCGTACAAAAACGTTGTTTTGTAAAATGTTCATCTTCTGCACAGTCTGTCTGCTAGAGGTATGTTGCTTTTTTGGTGGCATTTTAGTGGATTCTTTTGTTGTTGTTGCTAAAATCAGCAGGGGAATAACACCCCTGGGAAGGAGTTTCTGTCCCAAAATAAAGATCCTACTGCAAGGCTCCGGACAGCGTTGTTTCATGCCTAGTGCATCCAGGTGCTACCACAGCAGGCTTAAGTGGAGATCACGTGGCAAAAGAGGCCAAGCAAGTAAAACATAGGCAGCAGGAGATTGTTATCTGGTGTTTGCAAGAAGCCAGGTAATTGAAATCTCTCATATCACAGCTGTGTGGAAGAGCAAGTGTGTCCAGAGGAGGCTTGATATTGCGAAGTGGAAGTAAATTTGCAGGTCTCTTTTGCAAACATCAATTTCTAAAGGACACCTACACTGGAAAAGAAACTAATTGGATATAATCCTGCGCGGTGTGTATTTGTAACTGATAACGGTGTTGCAGCTGGAGTGCTTCAAATAGCTGTACCTGATGCTGACTGTGTGCTTCCCTTGCAGCCTTCGTTTTCGGGTATGCACACTGTCGTTATAGCTCTCTTCTAACAGGCTGGAATCAATGGTGGGGTGACTTGTTTTAGAGTCTGAACTCAAAGAGTAAAGCTGCAAATAACAGGTACCATTTGCATTTTAACAAAAATGCATTTCTTTCAACGTGTGAAGACTACCTTTTGTGTGACCAAAATTGCTTCATATAGGAAATTTAAATTGCCTTTAAACATGGGAGATGCTTCTTAATGCATGGGTGAAAACTGGTTTTAATTTTAGAGTTCTGAGGGTGTGGGAGTTGCCATTAATGTTTGTTGGATCTGATGTGTTTTTTCCTTTGTATCCCTTACTGTTGCTCGTTTACAGAAGTGTATATTGTGCAAATAACACAGCTAAGTTAGCTGTAACAATTTCATGCATGCAATTTCACAGGCTTGACGGGAGCCTGTTTTGTTACTTGCTGTCTCCCGGCTAGGAGAGTTTGAGAGTTGTTTTAGGTTTATATCCCTCAGTCAAAAGAAAAAACTTACTGTATCAATCCCATATGCCAGGTATCCTCCTCTTCCTCCTGGCTTGCACTGGGTGGTGCCTGGCTACGCCAGGGAACCTTCCTCCCAGTTGCTGTGGTGCTTTACTGGAGGCAGAGTGGGAGGGGGGAGAAAGCAGAGTGATGAAGAGCTACAGGACTGGCGCAGTGGCCTTGGCAGCTTCTCTTGGAAACACCTGGCTCCGTGGGCAGTCCGCAGCGCACCGCCTCCTCGTGCCGCAGCAGGAGCCTTCTCTTGGCGCGATTCACGCTCCCCGCCCTGCCCTTCTGCACACCCTGGTGCCAGCAGCAAGGTGAGCCTCTCGTGCTCTCCCTGGGCCTGGTCCCAGATGGGTGCTTGCAGGAAGGTTTCTATAGGAACCAGGGGCAGGAAAAACCTGCCCACCAAGTTCAAGTGCTCTAATGTCAGGGACGGAGGGCAGGCAGCAGGCAGGGGAGTGATCTCCAGCAAGGCAGAGGCCAGCGTGCGATGACGTGGACAAGTGAAGGTGTTCCCCTCTGCTACACCTGTCCCGGGACGAGGAGGGACTTTAGGCCTCAGCACTCACCTGCCCTCCTTCCCGAGCGCTGTGGTTAATTCCCTTGTTATGGGGTGTTTTCTCATCTATGTGCCTAACGCGCTGGCCCAGCTCCTCCGCAGCAGGTTGGTTCAGCA